ATAAAATTGATAAATTGGAATTTTTAAAAAGGCTAATTTTCAATTCATATAGTCTATTGTATTATAATTATATATATTAAATAAGATATTTCCATAAAAATAAATATACTTAAAATGGGGCAACTTCAGTATATAGAAATAAAATTATTTTATTTAAAAAATACTAAGAATATTTATAATAAAAATAACTTTTCTCTTTCAATGAGACACTTCTTATACAAGCCTAAAGAAAAATTTAAATAAGGACATGAAAACATATACCATGCAAAGGAAACTCAAATAAAAATGCTATAGTTAATGTCCTGTCATAATATAAGAGAAAAGCATTATTGCAAATGAAAAAGCATGCTTCTAAAAACATACATTTAATCTGAATCATTAGTAATATTTTAAAAATTGTTTATATGGAATGCTAATACAAATTCAACATAGAATTGAAAGAAGCACCTAAACAGGTCCTCAAAAACAGGGATTTCACACTTTTCTCTTGCTGCTTATAATACAGACATTGCAGTGAGCCTATAGAAGATTTAAGCTAAACAATTAATCAACACACATATGAACACACACATACACTCTCTATGCAAATATCAAATATTTATATGTTCAAGTTCATATAAAAACATTCCAAAAGCACACTATGATATCATCTTGCCAAGAATTATAATGTAAAAATACAGTGCTGTATTTTCAAGGCAGAACCATGACAGCCAAAGTTTACCTGTTGATACTTGAATACAGTTACTCAAATTTAATATTAATTAACAAAAATTAGTAACTTTTAAATCACTCTCTCAGTTACAATAGTTACATTTAGAAACAGACATAGAACACTTCCAACTTCACAGAGAACCTTCTGATTATAAGTTATTTAAAATATAAGTCATTAACCAAACATTTGAAAACCCTAATGGTTTATAATTCAGTAACATATATATAAATAAATTAAGAGCTAAAAAATCACAATGAATATTTGAAATTATATAAATTTCCATGAAAATAAAGTCTTTCTTGTGAAAACAGATTTTCTTAAATGTATACACAACAGAAGCCAAAAGCAGAAAATGAATTATCTGAGAATTCATCAAGGAAATTTAAAATGGGAAATTTGATATTTACTGCCAGTAAATACAAGCAAAGTAGTAGAAGGGAAAAAATAAACAGTACAAAATTATGACCTTAAACCCAATTACAATGGGGATGTACAACAAGCAAAAGTATTTTTATTGAAAAAACGATAAAATTGCGATGAAAGATATTGACGAAAAAATAAGATAAGGCACAGTTTTTGTTTCTGAATTAAACAGGAGAAATCGTTATGATTTTTATAGATATCAATCATTACTGATAATTATATTCAGTATACATTTTAATATCCATGTAGAATTTAATCTAGAAAACAAAAATTATCAAAATGCAGTAACACAAACAGAAACTTAGTACAGACAACATGTATTAAATTAATTGAGTTTGTTACAAAAACGTTTCTAGAAAAGATATTATTGGAACTGCGATGTCATTACCACTAAATAAGAACTTTTATAAATGACACTGGACTAAAAAAGCTTCTAGGGTACAGAAAAAAGAGGACTGCCTTCAATACAGCCTTGATAACAAAAGTGTTGAATAAAAGCAGTCAAAAGTTCCTGTGAACATGGATATAGAAACAAATATTACCTTGAATAAAATATATTCACGATTTATTTTTAAAGGGGCATTCCACAATAACAGTTATGATTTTTTTTTTTTTTTTTTAGAGACGCAAGACTGGTTTAAAATATTGAAAAATAAGCCATAGCAGAGGTTCATATCTTTTATCCCAACAGTTTAGTAGGCTGTGGTAGGAGGATTGCTTGAATCCAGGAAGTCAATCCATCCTAGGTAACATATCTCTGCAAAAATACAAAAAAAAAGAAAAGATGAGAAAGAAAAGAAATAAATTACTCCTTGTGGTAGCATGTAATGTAACTGTGTTACCAAGTATTCAGGAGGTTGAGGAGAGAGGATTCCTTGAGTGCAGTAGTTAGAAAATGCAATAAGCCGTCATTGTCTCACTACATCCCACTCTTGGAAGTAGAGCAAGACTCCTTACACAAAAATAAGAGAATAAAAGAAAAGAAAGAAAGAAAGAAAGAAAGAAAAAACACTGACAATAATAGTAGTTTACATTGTGAACATTATATGGAGAAAACATATTGATAAGAACAAAATAAATACAATATCATTAGATAAAAAATCGATTAAAAAAAGTAGAACATTATTATATTCCTTCGAGAAAGGTAAGATGCAAATTTCTAAACATAAATGAGTTTTTTATACCAAACAGGGAATAATGCATAGGATATGCATAGAACTTTTATTGTCCCTTCTATTTCTTAGAAATAAACCCCTCACAGTGAAACTATTTCAAGAAAGAAAATCATTATACCTAGAGAGAAAAAATAAAAGTGTAATTATTTACAGATAAAATAACTGATTATTTAGAAAATACAGAACAATCTATACTTGAAATTATAGCGTTAATACATAAAATCAATGAAGCAACTGAATATACAATCAACGTGCAAACTTCAATGGTATTTACACTTGTAGCAACACACATTTCTAAAATAAATTTTAAAATAAAGATGCCATTTACAAAAACAAGAAAGTAAAATACCTATATTATTGTGTGACTTCAAAACTAAAAAATACAAAATGTGTGATGGAGAGAAATTAAAGAAAATTTAACATTGAGATCAAAGCCGGAATTTTGTTGGAGAAGTCAACACTACAAAGATCCATAATCTTTAAAAATGATGTGACAGATAAAATGCAATCCCAAAGGTAAATCCCATGAGAGCTTTTTGATGTCATTTATTTATTTATTTCATGCCAATTGAGTATTTCATATTAAGATTAGGGAGACACATCTTACATATTCATGTGAAATCCAATTATCCCATTTATAAACTACAAAAAGTGAGCATTTATTTTTTATTTGAGGTGTCATGTATATAATATAAATTTCATCCACTTAAAAATTTTAATATATTCATAGAGTTACAACAAAGACCACTATGAAAAAGAAACACTGTAGCTATTGGCAGTCTCTTTCTGATTCACCTTAAGCCCTTGACCACCGCTATTCTATTTTCTGTCTCTATGGATTTGCCTATTCTTACTATTTCACACAAACAGACTCACATAACATGTAACTTTTAGAAAGGTTTAATGACACAAATCTAATGTCCAGGAAAAGGAGTCAGGCACAAGAGCAGTGATATCTGCCCTTGGTGGTGTGTATATTATACTTTAGTAACTCATTTTGAAATGTATTTTCATTGCTGAAATAAACAACATAAAAAATTTCTATAGCGTCTACATTTGTTGTGTAAATTCAAGGTGTTCAAGCATGTTTTTGTTACATGTATATATTGTTTTGTAGTGAAGTTCAGGGTTGAAGTAAAATCATCATCTGAAAACTGTACATTTTATCCATAAAATAAGTTTTCATCCATCAACCCCCTCCCCCTCTCTGTCCCTTCAGTGCTTTCAAGGTCTGTATTTCACTCTTTATGTCCGTTTGTACCCGCTATTTATCTTCCACTTACATATGAGAACATGTGGTATATGATTTTCTGTTTCTTATTTATTTCACGTATGGTAATAGCCTCCAGTTCTATATGTTGCTGCACAAGTCATGATTTGCTCTTTTGGGTTGTGGAATATTTCCTAGGGTATGTGTCTGTTTGTATATGTTATTCTGTATGTGTTTGTGTGTGTATATATAAACACACATACATATGGTATATGTGCAAATATATATATATGCGTAATACAGTTTTACTCAAACATTTTATTCAAGCATTTGTTAATAGATCTTAGATTGCTTCCATATCTCTGATGCTGTGCATAATGCAACAGAAAATGTATGAGTGTTTATTTTTTGATATAATTTTTTTCATTTGTGTCGACACCCAGCAGTGTGATTGCTGTATTAAATGATAGTACTGCTTTTATTTTTGAAAAATCCCCAAACTGTTTCTCATAGACATTGTACTAATTTACATTTCCACCAACAGTGTATAATGTTCTGTTTTCTCCACATGCTTGTGATCATCTGTTATTTTTTTCCCTTTATTGATAGTAATTTTCACAGGTGTAAGTTAGCATCTCATTGTAGTTTTCATTTACATTTATTTGATAATTACTGATTTGGGGTATTTTATATGCTTGTTGGCCATTTTTACATTTGTTTTT